ACTTGATCTGATTCAGTAGGGCTTAATCAGTTCGATACTGACTGGAAACCAGCACTCTCACTGCACAGCTCACTGGTGGTGGGATCATTTTTGAGGCAGGAAAGCAGGCAGGAGGGGCACAGAGGTGTGGATTTCGACAAGGGAGAGAGGATGTCAGTGCGTTTGAGGCCTTCACTCTGGAACACCATGCATTTGTTCCCAAGCTTCAGCCCTTTCTAAAAGCACACTTGAGACTGTTCCACGGAAATGACTTTTCAACTCACCCGAGAAAATGCACGGTAGTATCTTATAGTTACAGTTTGTTCCGGACCCATTAAAGATGCCACTCATTTGGTCATTCACCAGGCTCACCAGACTTGGGTCCAAATGACGTCTGGCTGGTTCCAAAAACAAACCCATCCTTGGAAGATGAAGATTTGCCTTGCCTGAGGGTAACCAAACGAATGTGTCCCAGGCCGCAGGGCAGGTCTGCGGAGGGTTACCAGGGAGTGGCTGTGGGGCAGGAATTGGCCTGAGACTTTGAAAGGAACAACTCGAAGAGGCATCTTTTGTCTTTGGAGCACTGGCAGAGTCAACATGAAATCCCTGCAGTTCATGCTCTGCCTGCGATAGCCTGAGGGCACAGTATTTGTTTGTCAAGATGTCCCAGCAGCCCTGAGATGCCACCTAGGAATGTGAAAATGTGGAGTTTTGCAGGGCCACATGCTTCGGAGGGCTCAGTTCAGATTAAGCAGGGTTCTCAGTTTTAAAGCTGTCAGTGGGCAGGATGCAGTGTCACTTAGTAAACTTCTAACAGCATGGAAACGACCTTTGGTTCTTTAACGGAGCTGAGCAGATCGTTACTTCTTGGCTCATCTAATGTAGGAGGCGCCCCGGCTGTGCAGTGCTTGAGCTCTGCTGGGCTCCCTCCACATCTGCAGGGTTGCATCGCAGTGCAGGGAGCGGAAGGGAGAGACGGCGCAAGGCGATGGAGAGAGTGTGGCCCCTGGAGTTAGAAACCTGTGGAGGAAGCGTGGCTCCACCGTGCAGCAGCTCTGTGACCAGGGCGATCTCGCAGAGGCATGGTGTCCTCATCCTCAAACTCTTGCAGGGTTTTCTGGGGACTAAAAAGTACAAGGCACAGGAGAAGCCCATCACAACAGGGCCTGGGCACAGTTGGGGCTAAGCAGGCAGGAGCCATCGCCGGTTATAGAGCCACATTGTGCAGGCACAGAGCACAGCGCTTCATGCATAGCAGGTGCCCCCCATGTTAGTTTTCTCAATTCCCTTGGAAAGACTGAGTGGTGGACTGAGTGCTTCCAGCCCCAGGAGGACAGTGGAGCCATCACCACCAGATGGGATGGAATGGCAAAGGGACATCGAGTTGGATGGCCTTGGAAGTCTTCTCTGGTCTCAGCTTCCTGGATTCCTCATGAAATAATCTGACCTCCAGAGGGGTCTCTTAGGTGGTTTTCCCACAGAGCCCTAACTGAGTAGGAGCTGGATAAGGCGCAAACCTTTCCTTCTGCAGAAGAAAGAGGCATACATACGTGTCCCGACCTCTGGAGGACAGGGGAGCGCTTCCCTGAAACTCTGTATAAGTGCTGCTATTGGCAACGCTGGTCACTTTGAAGTCAAACCATGATGCTCTTATTAGACTAAGTGGCACTAGTGGGGAGGAGCCCTGACTCAGCAAGAAGCCCGAGTTAAAATATTTTAAGAGGTAAAGGACTCCTGTGAGGTGGCTAAATAACACATGGAGAAATCAGTAAAGAGGGCAAAAGGGACAATGTTTTATGGGGTCATCACACCCACTACTGACAGCATATAAAGCTGGGCAGAGGACCAGGGCTCATACCAGAGACAAGAAATCAGGTTTTGAAGCTGATTCTCAGAGCTCTGCTCCCTCGGCACCATGCCCTACAACTGCTGCCTGCCCGCCCTGAGCTGCTGCACCAGCTGCTCCTCCCGGCCCTGCGTGCCTCCCAGCTGCCACGGCTGCACCCTGCCCGGGGCCTGCAACATCCCTGCCAATGTGGGCAGCTGC